GTCGAAGAAGGCCGTGCTATCTATAATAATATGAAACAATTTATTCGGTATTTAATTTCATCAAACATTGGAGAGGTAAAATTGATGAATATGAATCTGGATGAATCTCGAAAAAAGATTATTTCAGGTTGTTTGTATCTTTTTAACTGCTGCTCTTGGTCTACCGGAATCATTGATTCCTGTACAATTACTTTGGGTTAACTTAGTTACTGATGGTTTACCAGCAACAGCACTCGGCTTCAATCCACCTGATTTGGATATCATGGAACGTCCACCACGTAATGGAAAAGAATCACTGATTACACCATGGCTTTTCTTTCGATACATGGCTATCGGAAGTAAATTAGATGTTTCAAATGTGAAATGTTACTTACTTTTATTTTTGATTAGGTTACGTTGGTTTCGCGGTTGTATGGAGTGCAACGTGGTGGTCAATGCATGCGTCCAATGGCCCAAAACTTTCGTATTGGCATTTGGTATGTATTTGATTTTTGTTGATTTCATGTAGTATATTGAATTTTCTGAAAAGGAAACTAAAAGAATTTCTAGTAGAATCGGTAAGATAGAAACTGAACTAATCAGCATGTATTTCGAAGTTTATGTTTACTATAACTTTGGGAAAGTGAACGATTAAACGCTTTCTTATGGTGGATAGTTATCAAATGCTCTATATACATATATAGGCTTCGCGGAAAGCATGTGTTTGATGATTGGCGTTTTAATTTGGATACGTGAAGAAACATAAAATGTTGATTTTTTCTATTTAGCAAAATCATTTCAAATGTCGTGGAGGTGGAAAAGACTGGGAGAATATCAATTGTTCGGTATTTGAGGATCCACATCCCATGACAATGGCTCTCTCAGTACTTGTTACTATTGAAATGTTAAATGCACTTAACAGGTGATTATTGAAAGTGACGTCACTACAGTAAAACTAAGATTTACTTTTTAGTTTATCGGAAAATCAATCTCTTCTTAAAATGCCACCATGGAAAAATAAATATCTTCTATACGCAATTGCCTTATCTATGTCATTACACATGATGATACTCTACATCCCAATGTTTAATGTAAATATTATAATTTAATTTTTCATATCAATTCATTTAATTTAAAAAACATATTCTTAGACGGTGTTTCAAATTTGTCCACTCTCATTAGAAGAATGGCTAGCTGTAATTAAAATTTCTCTACCAGTTATATTACTCGATGAACTGCTTAAATTTATTGCAAGACGATATATCGATCGTAAGAATTGAACTCATGAATATAAAAACCTATATTCGCTTGTCTGATTTTCATTTTAGGTGGTTTGAAATCAGATCAAACATTCCACGGTATGATATCATCATTCAGTACAACGTTATTAAAAAGTAATTTGGCTAGTGTTGATAAAATTTATGGCCACGAAACAGCACATATTGAATAAATTCAAAATTTTTCATGTCGCAACTTGGCAATTTTTGCTTTTTGATCAAATGAAGAGTTAGCGTTTATTGTAAAATAAATGAGAATGTTTTTTCTTTCTTTCCTTATAAACAGTTGAATGTTTTCATTTTTAAAATGATTATTTATTCGTGATTAAAATTCTTAAAATATATCAGATAGTGAATAATATAAAGAAATAGAGTTGAGAAGGAGTTGCATTAATTTTAAGTACCAATGAATTTACTAATTATGAGGCTATTTGCGTAACCTTCAATCGGAGACGAGATGATAAACTCGGCTAATAGTTCATTTGACCTTTACTAGAAATTAGCTGTAAAACTCAGCTTATATTTGATCTCATATAGCGATCGAGCATGATAGGATTCCAACAGCACCATGCGGAGTCTTCTTTAATGGGTCTAAACAACGATACTGAATGATTAATTGGTTTGGCGCGGAGATCGTTCCACTCGGCAATCATGACTTCCGAGTTCTACGAGTCAATAATGAGAATAATGGATGTGAGCGCGAGATTTTGTATACTTTCTTAAAAATATAAATACGATGTATCATATTTGGACCGAAATGTTCTACAAGGACTACGGGATAAAAGTTTTTTTTATAAAGTGTGTATCAGTTCCCATATCCCAGCAGCTTGTGTGATAATTAGGTTTGATCAGTGGCGTCTGAAAGAGCATGAAACCTTAAAGAAAACTAGGCATAGCTGTGATTTGCACGACCTTTATATAATATGCCTGAAGATGAGTCAAATTTTGTACTGCAAAATATTTTCTTTTGTTTTTCTAATGTAACAATACAGGCGTCTATTGCATGATATATCAAAACAATCGAAGTCACCGATATTTTTATGATTTACTGTGCGGTTAAAACTCGTCGTAATGTTTATCGCTCTTCTCCGTTCGATAATCGTCTTTCATAAGGAATTTTTATTTTAGCTACTTGAAATAAATTGTTACAGAAGCGGTGATCAACCAATGGATTCTACTAAGAGTGACAATATTGATAGAATTTACTTAAGTCTAGAAAAATCCGAGGAAATTCACTGATTTGGAAAATATTCTCCAGTGGCCATAAGCAATCTGGAAAAACTAAGTTATCTCATTAAAAGTTGCCAGTTTATAGATGGGAATAGCGTTGGAAAACAAGAATATTACTTCCTCATATGGATTAGAGACACGGCATCTAAATCTTCTAGGAGAGAAAATCGATGTTAAATCCTAATGGAATCTACCGAAGCCAAATCGATCTCCAAAGACTCGATCATATTCGTTGATGAAGAGAAGGGAAAAAAATAAGTCGAATTGAAACTACCAATATGAAAATTAAATAATAACCTAAACGGAAACTGACAATGATAGAATAAGAAAGCCATGAAAATCAATTCAAGGCTTAGAAAACAAGATTTTTGCACTCAAATAATAGTCTCTTGGGTGTTATTATGCTTTTTTTTGTCTTGTTTCATTCTTTTAGATATTATCCTCCGCATAGATTTATCAGAATGAGAATTCCAATAATCATAAACAATCATGTACACTTCATACAGATAGACTTCATCAATAGAGACGGTTGTTAATTGTCGAAGAAAATTCTGTTTATCATGACATTAATACAAATCTAATGTGAATGAAACGAACGATACGTTCGTCGTGGGCTAATTTAGAAAAATAAAGTTTCTGTTGATGATCTAAATGGAAAATCCCACCAGTCTTGTTAGCGCTTTGATCATTTCCATAACATATGATTTGGATGTTTTTGTGATTTATGTATGGTTAAGTTTTACTTTGTTATTGGGGCAAATTATTAATGATGTTTATTTTTCTATAAAGAATCAAGAGCAAATAAATAGCATTTGATCTAATACTTAGAAGATACTGATTGCCATCAAACTTAGTCATTCATGCCATAGACGTTGTTGCCGATCGATATCAGAAAACTACAATATGGTAGAAATATTCTCCTAACTTACTTTGACCTCGTTAGCGGACTGATCTTGTCATTTTGATCGAATTATGAAACTTTTACATATGATGTATAGGAGTGATAAAAAGAAACGTCGACCAACGAGAAGTTGCCAAAACAAAATGTCACTCACATATCGAAATTAAGCATATGACAAGAATATTCTATTAGTGGAATAAAGTTTTTTGTTTTCGATAAGTTTACTTTTTTTGTTTGTTTATAATTGAATGAATTCGACGATGATATAATATGACTAGCGACCATCGTCTACGATCTAAAACTGAATTAACCGAAGCAGATGTTATGTCAGACGACATGTACATAATTTTCAAGGCAAACATAAAGCTTTCTTTAATTTCTGATGGGTCTTGACGCGCAGAAGAAAACAAGCACTTTAAACATCTGTTTATAAGGCCGTACTCGTCATCAATAGATCAAGCAATATGATGCCACTAATGGTATATAGTAATGCTGTGTGACTATCTATATTATTGTTGTTTTTACTTGTTTTTTATATTCTTTACTTAATCATACGACAACGGCACTGGATTTTCTTCTTAGTTTTTTTAATCTAAACAATCAATGATCGCTTGCTTTTCTTTCGAAGTGCTAACGTCATCAACACATCGTGCATATACAAGCACTTTGCATATTTTCTAATTTTTCTTTCTTCTGCACAATCTACGCGATTTTTTCTTTGGGCTCGGAAACCATTCGTGCTTCTACATATGCTTCTATCATAATCGAGATGGTACAAGTATAGAGAGACATTGGTTTATATTTATCCTTTAGTGCAATATTTCATTTGATGGATCAACGACGTTCACGATCTGCATCGATTTCTAATGTGAGTAAATCTCGATATCACAAAAAAACAGCGCTATAACAGTAGGGGATCATGATGATGAAATTTGATCGATTAACATCATTGACAAAAGAACGCGTCCTAAAGTGGCTAGCAATAATAATCAGAAATACAAAAAGAATGCGAATGCAATCGCATTACTATTATTATTTCTTTTTCCCCCTTCGTCTATGTATTACTTCTCTTTATATAGAATAATGAGGTAATTAGATAAATGTTAGCCCTTGGGGGGGGGGGGGGGNCACGCCCCCCCCCCCCCCCCCCCCCCCCCCCCCCCCCCCCCCCCCCCCATTTACAAAAAAGAGAAAAGAAAAACGCCCAGTTCCACTTTAGATTGATTTGTCAATTGTGAGTTCATTATAGTTTTATTAATGATCATCATTATTTCCATTGAAACCACTTTACTTTAGGTTTTGTCAGTTTTTTTTTATATATGTGGCATGTTATAATCGGCGTTTGTTTTTTTCCTGTGTCTGTTTACTTGCCTGTCGAGTTTGACGACAAGCAATACATTTGGTGGCTAACTGTAGTAGCAACATAGAGTAGTATAGAATTAATCAGATAGACAAAAATATCCATATATATATATAAGAGCATAAAATACATCGTGCATTGTTTCTCATTTTCATCGATCGCTGGTTTTTCTTTTTTCTTTGTGCGTGTATATAGTTCCCAAAGTAATTATTCGTCGGAGTTTGCCTTTTAGTTCTTGCTACTCTACCAATCTTAACATAGACAAGCATTAGAGATAAACCATGATGACAATACATCCGAGAACAACAAATCATTCTTTGCCTAGCAAGCACAGATTATCGTGGCGAAAGAAAAATATCGATATGATAAAGAGAGATATTTAACAACATATGTTAGGCTGAAAAAAAATGGAAGAGAAGAGAAGAGATAGAGAATAAGACATATAGAAGATGCGATTTACAACAAGATCTCGATATAAAAATCCTTGAACTCTCATCATGTATGTTGACGCGGAATATAAATATTTGCGCTTGGGTTTCTCGTGAGTAGGTCGATCTAACACGGAAATCTATTTACTACAGTTTTATCTTTAACGTTCTCATTAAATAATCTATTTCGTTCAGGTAGTACAGTTGACAACTCTCTTTAGTTTGTCTTATGTTTCTAATATACATTTATAGATTTTTTATTTTATTTTTTGCCAATTGACAGATTCAAACATGTTAACGTTTTTGCATCAAGTCTAGGAAAAATTGCTAGGTCAGGTAAAACGTATTCATAGATTATATCGTTCCTTTAGCAGGACAAAGTTTCTTTGCTTTTTAATTATGAAAATATTAGTCATGCAAGTAAGACTATTCCCTAGTTTGGTGCTAATCGAAAACAACAACAACAACAACAAGGCAATAGCGTTTTGTGTTTCTGCTTTCTCGGTCTATTTCTCTCTCTCTCTCTCTCTCTCTCCCCTCCCCATGCCATTATCATCATTGCCTTTGCTAAAGCAGCTGCTGACGCAAATCTATTTGTCTTATGTTCGCCAGTATCAACTAAATAATGTTCTGCCAAGGTGCCGACTGCATGATGCAGAACAGATAGGAAAGAAAAAAGAGAAGGAAAAAAGGTACATGAGCATGGCCTGGAAATTGTTGTATTATATAAAGATATACATATAAACCACCGAGAAACAGTAGACGCAAGATAGAAAAAGAGAAAATGTTACTAATAAGTAAAAAATGTGGTAGCAGTTCTGGTAATAGATGAAAAGAAAATAGATACTGAAGAGAATAGGAAGAAAAGCTTTTTTTCTTCTCTTTCTCCGATTGGTTTTGTGGTATGTCTTTGTACAAATACATACCGAATGTTAGATCGTTTATTTCCGCCTTTTTTCCGTTCTTTTTTCTCCTATACACACAATAATAACGACAACAACAACAAGAGCAATTGGCTGCTGTTGGCGGGGGGGGGGGGGGGGGGGGG